GTGAGGTTGTATTCCATATCAAACGTAAACGTGTCCGCGGTGCCTGGGACGATGGCGTTTTTCATCAATGAGCCAGCGATAACAAACCTGYGGTAAAATATTTATATGCTAATGAAGRCGTAACAAGGTTCTAGTTTATGGGCTTCCTGTGCTTACCTGTCATAAGCGCACAAAYTACTCCCTACAGTGGTATCCATAYAATCGTGGATTAACCAAGTAAACCGCTTGTCATTATACAGTCGGTTCGCCTTCCAGTCGGAATCTGACATGTAATCACAGGCTGAGTTCAAATCTCCAAGRATAATGACGTCACTGATAGACCATTTGGCTATGACGTCATCATATACATCAACTAGGCTATCGACTTCCTTTGGTGCGCTAGAGGGAGAAGTGTGAATCGCTACCAGARCAAAGTCCTTGATAGCTGTTGAAATAGATAGATTGATTGAGTAAAACACATGATATCTTGAGACGGCGTAGATATACCACAAACGCCTGAGTGCTGCAAGGAGAAAGTGACAATGAGGATTGTCGTCGTTTATTCGCGGAGAGAGACATCATGATTGCGCGCTTCATGTCGAGTCCAAACAGTGCTGCGCTTCCCCTCTGGAACCACCGCTAGCATGATGTCTCTTTAAGATTTACCTGCGTTTTTAATGGTCTGGAACTGAACAATGAATGGCTCACGTTCGAACGTGTCTTGTTGTAAGCTCTCGTCACCGTCATCGTACGTATAGCTGCGGACTACGGATAGTGCATCAGTCCTGTTACGGAATTGGTACGTAAATTATAGTTATGAAAATTATAGTTATGAAATTACGTATAAAAAAAATCAACGGATAATAGAAAGATAATRGATAATCACTACTTTTTACGTTCGGAACAGATGCGGACGACATTGAAATCGTTACGGAAATCTCAACGGTGACCACTCCCAGTGTAAATGCACTCACTTGCGTTACGTAAGAAAGGCATAAAATATAAAGAAAACGGCATGTCTTACCTATATAGAAATGCGTATTCTTCTTTASTTGAAGTTCGTCCTAATCGTGGGCTGATGATTATCTTATAGACAGCTTTAGAAGCCCTGAAATTATCCATTTCGATAATCATGACCATCGGCCAATAATTTGATCACATCTAAGATAAGAAACTTACTGATTGACTTTGCGCAAAAGTTTGTAGATAGCTGTTGCAGTCATGTCGCGAATCTCCATGATTAGAATGACGTCATATCGAAGAATGATCTAAAAATAGCAAAAACAGAAATTCACAAAATCCAAACTGCGACAGGCAATTTGTATTCCATTATATTTATCTAGCGTTCTCTTCATATATAAGCAAATGTACTGGACCCTTTGATTATCCTATGATTGCCCATTGGTACAGGGGCGGATCCAGGATTTTCCTCAGGGAGGGGTGCGGGCCTCTCAGGAGGGGGTGCACCCCACAAAAAGCATTAGCATGAAGATACAAAATAAGGAAATATTAAAAGAAATAGATCTCAGGAGGGGGTGCACACCCCCTGCACCCACCAGCTGGATCCGCCTTTGTGGTAGCACTTGTTACATATCGGCTTCGTGATTGGCCAATCATATCGACCAATGGTAGCACGCTTTCTAAGCTACTTACATTGACTAGTATCTCAGGGACGTTTGGGTACGTCATCTTCGTGACTCCGAACACCCGAACATTGAAGGCCGCAATCTTGAGGTTTTGATATGTACCACTAGTGTCCCGAGGGATCACGGGWATTGCTCTCTTGAGAGCCTTGATATWGTGGGGTATGCCCTGGTTGGACTTGTTGCTTRTAACAYTKAGTRTACCCTGGTTGGGCTTRCTGCGAAGAACACTSAGTATGTCCTTGAAGCCATCGTTATTKGTCTTTAACGACTTGTTTTGTTCGGAGCCTGTTATAGAAAGCCGAATGAGTGCTTTAGGGATCGACAGTATTTCTTCGCATTGGGTTATATCAAATGATATCAAAACTTATCATTGCAGATACAAAAAAGACAAAGAAAATGAGAAAGAAACGTCGAGGGAACAAAAAAAAAAATGAAACGAGCGACCAAAATAACAGTGCACGCTGCTTGACCAAGCTCAGTTACATAATACAAAAGACCACTAGGCACTTTCAGCAAATAAACAATTGACATTATATTTTTAATAGTTGTCTAGCTAGTGCTAGCTGTGGTCTAGGGACCGATTAGCTTCCTCCTCACTGACGTCCTTCCTATTCAGGAAAATGATCTTCATGTTAGATGAAACTCTAGATACTTTGAATTAAAAGAGACGATGTCAATCTTTGACTTGACATTGGGATTAGGCATCCCGACCATCTTTGATGGGAATTAACATGATATGCCATAGGTTTAGATACAGTCCGCTACACGATTCATTTTCATGTCACTGACCTTGCGCTGAGAAAGCCACCAAAAGTAAGTACATCACAAGAAAGATAAAATAGCGACCTTTAGCCATCTCTCTAGCTCAGCATGTACTCGTGGCCGGGACAGGAACTTGGATGAATGCTAATATGGCACGTGATGAGCTCTGTTAAAATACTGTGTTTTAACAGCTACACTTAGACTCTAAGAGCAGTTGACCGTCTAGATAGCTTTCTTCTCTTTGATCAGCTGTTCAATCGAAAAGTTTTCCCATCATAAGAAATCATCAAATGCCAAACTCTAATTGTTAGACTATTTAYATTGACACGGGATAGGTGAGTCCGACTGTCGTCACAGATTAATTTGATACATTTCGAGCGCAGACATATATTTTTAGATCAACAAAGTTCAAAGCTTTCTTCATCAATAAATATATTTGCGCCGTCTTCTCATATTCGGTCACAGTCTGGGGATGGCTGACAACACAAGTAGCAAGCAATCTGGATAAATAAAAGTTTTTTCACAAGGTGAAGTACATGGATTAATGGGTCGCTGTTTACTCAAGAATTGACATGAAAAAAGTGATGTTCACTGTTTCTTGTTTCACGKATATTGTGGATGGCAAGCATTATAAAATGAACATACAGTCAGTCATAACATAATACATCACATTTGGGCTCTATACCCCAGTTGCTCCCACGTTGCCTTTCGGAGATGCGCACAGCAATAGTTAAACGCAAACAAACACGCAAAACACAGCTGACCGTTCAGTAGACAGAGGTTGAGTTTATAGTATGTATATGAAGAGAGTACTGCACCGCGCGCCTCTTAAAACAAGAGAAGTGACTGGGCACGAGTGAAAAAACAAAAAATCGATGACAAATCTTAYGAATAATTCTTTATTTCTCATGAACAATGCCAGTACATTCTCACGCTCATATATGGATATCGAAAATCTTTCGTGAGTGAAATGAAAGCAAATTGTATATCGTTCTCTATGAAAAACAATAAAATCTTTGGCTAAAAGAGCGTCCAGCCCCCTTTACTTTATTTACAAGTGAATTGCAAAACTTTCCACGTTCATACGATAAGCATTGTTATCTGTTATCGTTGATAATATCTTTATATTTATCATTATCGTCTGCTTCTTCGATAGCGTGGTTCACGATCTTGAGTTCGTCGTAAAAATTCGTCACATGCTGCCTCATAATGATCCATCTAAAAACAACGAAAAAACTGTTCAACACTCTACTGAACTGGACATAATACGACCAAAACCTCAACATATTTAACTAAATACGACTAAAAACCAACAACAACTGACCCCACGTACTCGACCTGAGCATAGAACGACCARAAACAACGAAAAAACTGTTTAACACTCTATTGAACTGGACATAGTACGRCCAAAACCCCAATGTATTTAACTAAATACGACCAAAACCCAACAATAACCCCACGTACTCGACCTGAGCACAGAACGACCAGAAGTTCACCAGACGATTTCAAGCCACTCTTACCGTTCTATGACTATATCGAGAGCTGCTTTGTGGTAACATGTAGTATGGTAAATCGACCGACCGGGCGGAATAGTGAGGCTGAAAGAAAAGTCATAAATTAAACAATAATTYTACTAACAACGTTGAACATGAGTTTTAAATACTCTCGAATACTCTAAGAGTACGACCAGCTGCAATCATCATCTAAATGGTCCTCTTTCTTAATGACGTCATATTGCTGTCGCTTCTCCTCCTACTATGAATGTAACCGCTATGTAAATACTTTTATTAATACCGTGAACTTAAATGTAAGTGACATCATAAGGGAAGGACCATTTTTGCCATTCCCTATCGCCTTCCTATTTGTGTTCAATCTTGCAATCATCACGATGCTTCACTACTATCATAACAATCACTACCATCATCATCATCATCATCATCACCATCATCATCATCATCATCATCATCACCATCATCATCATCACCATATTCATCATCGGGAGAGCCTACGTAGCACTCAGTTGATGTAATATATTTATAAAGATATAATACAAAACACATAATACAATAGAACGAGGAACAATGAATACAATACATTTTATGAATACATTACATCAACTGCGTGCTACGTAGGTCACCCCATTCATCATCATCATCATCATCATCATCATCAGTGATTACTTACTCTGCTGACTGACATGGAGGAGGAGTGTCTTGATCGTTGGTACTCCCTCATGTAATCTGAATATGACTAGAAATACAAAGTAAAAATATGAAGTGAGCGACGGAAAATATGTCATAGAATACAAATCTTAACATACCCCATGTAGTAAGGTTTCTCTTCTTACACCACCATAACGAGCCCTGTAAGAATAGTACATTTTCAAATCAAAACAGTCACATTGATGATTCTTGTTAAACAGAAACAAAATAAAAAACCCACAAATACAGAAAAACATACAAAGACAACAAAACCACAAAATACACAAACAAAACCCATCAACAGAAACAAATAAACATTTTGAAGTCGCTAATAAGTGTATTAGCACAGTAACAATAAGTCCATTAAGGGTGTCTAAAAATCCCCGAGTTACTTCAATCAATACCTATCATCTTTGCTGTCTCTATCATGGCGATCTCTCGAGTCTGAATGTCGACGGCTCCCTAGAAAGAAGAAACACGAACTTTATGAGAAATAACGAGTAAAACAGCGGAAACTCTCCAAAACGAACAAGCAGTAACACAAGCAAATCCATATTGCTGACACCTCTGTAATACGAACACCTCTATATCACAGACACCTCTATATTACAGACACCTCTATATTACGGACACCTCTATATTACAGACACCTCTATATTACGGACACCTCTGGATTTCGACTTTCTTCAAACTATTAACACCTCAATATAATCTAAAGGTCTTTAATAAGAGGAGACAACCAATACGATGGATATTAGTAAAGAAAAACCTCTGTATAGCGAACACCGACCACCTTTTTGACTGTTCAAATAGTAGAGTCTGCACTCTTAATTTTGCTGTTTTTTCAAGAATTTATTTTCGGGAGAHTTCTCAYATTACCCAACAATATGTGCCTAGTAATCTCAGATGGAAAAATTACGTCTCGATCTCTGGTTTTATTGCATGCCCAATATCATCAGGTGAAATTCTTCTCATTTAGTTCTCATAATAAGATATTATTGAAACATCTCATCTAGAAGGAATATTTTATCTGCTTAAATCTTTGATCCAAACAAACTTTCCTTTATGGTGGCATTTCATGCTTTGGAAGCTTTCATCAGAGAATACCAATTTCCGACCTGCAAGCCTTGAAATCACCATGCAGTCAAAGAACACAGATTTCGTTTTTGTGGCTCGCTTGTACACGAAATAATATTCCCTTTATGACCTAATGGAAGCTTTGATCAGAGTTGCGGAACTTCTAGAACCTTTRATCGATGGTGTCTCCTTCAGCAGGGATGGTTTAGTCACAAGAAACAATACCACGCTTTGCTGACTTGATARCAATAAAGCAGTGGAAATTCGCAWTTGGGRAATAATGACTAAGGCACTAYAATACTGAGATTACGACTGACATCAAATACAAAAAGCTGGTGTTTTGCCAAAAATCAGAGCTGGAATTCTAACCTCTTCGTCTTCGTTTAGCTCTCCGTATTTCTTCATTCCTACTTCTGTGCCTGCTGATTTAAATAATGTGAACAGAATTAGCTGATGAAGATGACATCTCTTATGATTGTTCATTACTTTGCTTTTTAAAACCTCAAAGGATTCTGCTGCACATAATGGCCCTATGTAACAGAGTAAAGCGAAAAAGCATGCAGTGTCTAACTGCATTAGAGACTTTTAAGAATTGCGAGAGGCCTGTAAATAGCACTCGAAATTTTGCGAAGTCCAATCAAGCTTGAAGGAGATTTTTTGTTTTGCGGTAAAAATCACGCTCACAATCACAGTAGTCTCATTTTTATACATATAAATGTCGCGAATTAAACAGGAAAGGCAGAATTCTGTGCAATCCCTTGAGGCAAGCATGAAGGAATGAACAACGTTGCACATTCAATGACGCTGGTTTGAGTGGTTGGGTGTCACCTCTCTTGCACGCATACACTACTAGGAAATCTGGTGTTGACCAAACAGCAACCGTTCTATCATATTTAAATCCATTAATAAAGTGCATTAAGGTAAGTCCTTGCTGAAAACACCATTGCAGTCCTGGTACATTGTCTTGTAGCAAAGTTCATAAGATAGCAACTGAACCAACACCAAAGGGAATTCCCAACAAAATTATTAACCAATCACGTTTGATGTTCTAAAGATCTTTGACGGTGCAAGTCCTAAGAGCTTGACGTTTGTCTTGTGTGGTGTTAAAACAAGAAAAGAAAGGGATAATGTATTGCCAAAGTTTCAAGCTTTTTAAGTCAGCGTTGACTTGATGGCATACGATTTGAAATGTTTCTTTTCTTGTTTTTATAATAAACATTGAATGATTCCGAAATCACACAAGCATGTAACAATAAAAGTCTCTCTTGGGATACTCCGARTTATCCTCCGAATCCGCATAGCTTTGGTAGTCTTTCTACAGCCCGATAGTCCGAAATTTGATTGAAAAAACTGCAAACATGCTTCATATGCCGTTTTCGAATCAGCAACTTGTGTAAATGAAGAATGATCCGTCCGCAAATTGACTTGAATCGCTAAGTCCTGGTTTAAATAAGTCCAGTAACCAAAGCTGAAAACAATCGCAAATAACAACACATCCTCTGTGCTGAAAAACTATCAAAGTTCACTAGTCCACATTGATGATTGATATATGTCCATCGCTCAGCTGGGACCTTCAATAACCCCTAAAATAACGCAAAMAACCGTAAGGTATTGTGAGATAAAGTCCTGTTGCATCCTGGGAAGTGCATAACACCTCCTGATCTAACATATCACAGCCAGGGGGTGGAATTCATCCCCCATCTTGAATATGCCACCACCGTAACCATGCAGAGAAATGTGTTCTTGTTGAGCTGCGCTTCCTAACCTAGAGTGAATTTCTTTTTCCTTGACTCTTCTGCTGCTGTTGGTTGAATTACTCTCGCCTTGTGATGACGTACGATGACGTTTCCCYAGCTCTACTGTTGAATCTTCTGGGAATAGTCTGCACAGCTGTTCTCCCACAGTTGGCTCGACTTCCTGAAAAACAACCCACCATTCAATAAACGAGCATTTCTCAATTTTTTAAAAATATTGAATAACGTTGTCCTCAAAATATATCCTTATTTAGCGGATAAAAACCATACAAAATTGAAGRAGTRGATAACTCTTTCTGGCCTTYGTACAACCAGTCCCTAGTTTTCAATAGAATTTCCCATTTGTCATCCCTGCAGACTCAAGTATGTCATTGTCATGGGTTGCTACTACAGTAATAACATTATCTCATTATTTCCTGKCATYATCACACTTGTAAAAAGTCYTGAACATCATCACTTTACCTGACCATCACGGCAGATCTTCACCTCCTTGTTGTCGTTCCATGGATTACGTAGGTGCGTRCACTTGCTAAACCACAGGTCTTGTCTAATTCATTTAAAAGAATACAGCATTACTGGACAAGCACAAACAACTTTTTTAAAGTGATATACAATATTCACATTTGCTGTGAATGACTTGTAGGTATTCATCCTGCTCCTTTAACAGAACTACTGCTCATATTGTGTACAATGTTTTGGACATTTTTCTGCTCAATACTATACTAGTCAGTGTTGACTTGTATCTAAAAGTATTATTCAGAGTCCACTATCAGCTTCTAACTATTTCGCAGTCCAGAGGGATCCACTGTAACTTTTGTTTAGTATTTGCCTAAGAAAGTATTAGTAGTTCATACCTATTGAGCCATTTAATRGGRAATACACCTCCAAGTGCCTTGGCGCTCATTCCAGGAGGCAGYACCCATGGGATTTGGGGTCCTCCATAGGTTGCCTCACCCATTAAGCGTGCCATACCCTGGAACTTGCCACTTTCCTTGACAGAGAATATTACAATGACATTCTTGTAGCGCTAGAAACGAAGATATAGTCTGTTAATGATTTTCTAAAATATTCCCAGAACACGTCACATTATACCTACCCTGAAAGCTGAACTTAGTTTYTTTTCATTGGTTCTTGGGGTCGACCATACACCCTGTAAGTAAAAACCAATCACTTGTCAGAGCACTTGTCACTTAGAAGTGGARATACATTGTAGCAATGTACTAATGACGTAATTAAAGGACAACAATGATCATGAACAATAACTATTTTGATAAATGTATGAGAGAGTCCAATCACTATAATCTTAGTACCAGTTTGCTAATAATATTGTCCAAATTACACACAGATTAAAAGTCCAAACTTACCTTTGCCTTTGATAAAAGTACATTTTCAGCATTGTTACTCTTCATCACAAAGTATCTTGCATTCTCAAAGTACTTGTCCAGTCTGTATCGTCTTCTCTTCCTGGACGAAACTCTTGCAACTTTACTCTTCACATGATTCGATGCTTCATCTGAGGAAGCGTCATCTGACATATCTGCATTGCTGCCACTTTGYGCTATGGCTGAAGCCATCCTTCGTTTGCGAGAACTCTTTGTTTCTGATGCTTCTTCCATGTCTGCTTCCTCTTCACTARCACTACCTTCTTCATCTGAACCTGCAAAAGGAGTGTTTTTGTGATTACATTGTAATTCCTTGTGAGGAAATTGAAAAGATTATGCACAAAGATGTTTGTTGGTGACTAAATTTATATTTTCAACATGTTTAGTTAATAAAATCTCTTTCTTGACACTCTTGACCAGCTATCCTAAGTGACTTTTTGAAATCTTTTGTTGTGCAAAGATCTTGTTTTTATTGCAGTTTTATAGAATTCTATAAAAGTTTGCGAGTTAACATAAACAGACATCAGAAACACATATATACCTGATTTGGATGACATGGAACCTGATCCWGATTCAGAGTGAGCATCATTATCATCTTCATTGTCACTAACGTAGTCATCCTCACTCCCACTACCATCGCTTGCCTTGTCTTCATCAYGAAGATCATCTATAACCTCCATTTGTTCACTCTCCACACTTTTGTCTTTGCTTTCTTCTTGTTGTTCTTCTTCAACCTTCTCATCAGGAATTTCTAATATTATAAGAGCACAAAAAGTTRATGTGATATGTTCAATATGACATTAAATTATTTGTGAGCTGATTGACTTACTCTTCTTKTCTGTGTTTTTGTCATTTACTTCTACAATTTCAATCTCTTCTTTGCCATCTTTTGTAGTTGATTCAACCTCAGGAACATCATCCTTTGGCTCCTGAAAAAAATGGATAAAACAAGGTAAACAACCCTTGTATTCCTGTGTTTTAATGCAAACAATCCATTATTTCTATCAAGGTTTGACTAAGCTAGATTTGCTTTCATTTGACTGTGATGATTATGATTATTTAGCTGGTCATTGCTGATAAAGAACAAAAGAAAACAGTAGATTTATAGTGTTAGACAAACTACAAGTATTAAACCCCTTTCTATACAAGACAGTGAAATATAAAGTTCAATTACCTCAGTTGATGTCTCCAAGATCACATCATTGTCAGAGTCCTCTATCACTTCAACCTCTTTTGAAACTTCTTCTTTCTCTTTGACAGGGCTTGAAGCAGTTACTATCTTTTCTTCTTCTTGAATAACCTCTTTTATATCTTCTTCTTTCGTAGGTGCTTCAGGCTTAGGAGACTTAGATTTCTGTTTTTCTGTAGTCTTTTTGGTTGTTTTCTTGGCAAGTTGTTTCTTGCTTGTCTTTGTAGTCTTTGATGTGGATGACTTGCTGCCTTTGGTCTTGGCAGGATTGTTGTTAGTTGGAGTTTTAACAGATTGAACTTCAGTYTTTTCCACACTTGAACTCTTTTCCTTTGGCTTCACTTCAGATTCTTTTGATGAAGCCTTTTTCTTAGGTTTTTCAACTTCTTTCTTCTCAGATGGAACTTTAGAATCTTTTGAAGATTTTTTACTCGATTCTGGTTTTGGATTCTCAGCTTTGTTCTCTTCTTTTTTCTTCTCGGTCACAGGTTTGGGGTCTTTAACTTCAGCTGACTCCTTTGAACTAGTTTGCTTTGACTCACTTTTATGTTTGGTTGATTTTGTCTTTGATTTTACAGTTGTTGCTACCTTAGTGGTTTTTTCTTTGGAATTAGCTTCCTTTTCAACTTTTGTCTTGTCTTTCTCAACAGATTCCTCAGACTTTGGTTTCACCTTCTCCTTTTCCTTGTGTTCACTAGCTCTTGCAGTTGAATCTCTCTCTYTTGCCTTTTCCTTAGTTTCCTTTTCTCTCTCTTTCTCTCTCCCATGCTGTTTTTCMCYYTYMYCTTTSTCTTTYTCTGMTTCCCTTTTCTTCTCACTATCGTTTGGTTTGGGTGACCGCGATCCTCTCCCTTTCTCTGATTCAGATACAGCAAGTTTTTTCTCTCTGCTCACTGYCTTCTCACTCSCTCTTTTACTRGTACTCTTAGGACTACCTGGGCTTCGTTCTACAGCTTTTCTTTTTGGACTACTTCCTTTTGTCTTTTCACCATTCTTTTCTTCTGGAGCACWGCGTTTTCTTGTGCTTTTGCTGTTTACTTCAGAAGATCTCCGGCTTGGAACTATTAGATTAGAGAAAAGTGTTGACACTCACAAARCAATCTTGTCTACTCGGGCACAAAACGYTAAAAATATYTTTAAATATACATGTAGGATCTGTATGTCCTCAGCTGAAAATRCTTYTTTACCTTTCGATGCCTTGTCTAATTCAGCAGCAAATTCATCATGAGCTGGTTCGCCTAATATATCATCTAATACATTCAATTCCACATCCTCTCCTAAAGAACAACAGAAACCTTAACGATACGCCGCCGAACGATGAATAATTCMTCACCGGCAAGGAAATATTTAACTAAACGTCTGGCATATATTTTTGTTTTGACAGAAAAAAGAGACACTACACTGCACACCAAGAGTCTTATAAATCAAAAGCGGAGAAGGCAATAAACAATGATCAAATATTCCGCGAGAGATACCCTCCGCTTCCAAAATCACACAATGGCGTCAGTTTGAATACAACAGAAAGAATATGCACAGATTGTTCACATGTTAATTGAATCAGGAACATATTCATTTAAATTGCTTTTTAGAAATATTTTTGGACGTCATTTCTMTGAAATGAAAGATTTTCTAATCGAAAATGAGTTGTAAACACGCCACAAAGAACGRCATTGATTTCAAAGAACAGACGCCGTCAACTTACTCGCTTCTACTTCATCTGGGGACGACAATTCTCCTTCTTCTGCTGCTACAGACATTTCTTATAACTTCTTGCTTGATTCTTTCTGCTTATTGAGGCAATACAAAGCAGAAAAGATATAGAAAATAGTGCTTTTCGTTCGATAACCGGATTTCTCTAACGAAAGCACGCCACAAATTTTCGAGGATGCAAATTACATCATGATGKTCTCGTCACCAGGCTACGCTCTGATCTTTCCCTCAGGAAACCCAAATAACATAAACAAATTTCCAGTTTCTTCTATATTAAAAACCTAATTTCATATACCTTTTAACGATAGAAAATAGCCCATTGTAAGAAAAAATATTTCAACTCAAAAGTTTTCTTTCAAATTGCGATCTTTTTGCTCGACATTTTAGAGATGTTGCAATGCATGCTGGTCTGAAATCAAAGATGGCTGTCAGGAAACTATCGTGAAAATTTTAAGTTATAGACTTATAATGGCCGGGAAATCCGAATGTGATCATTACATAMGAAGATGTGCATTAAAGGTTAGCTACAATTGAATAATCAAGTTGCTTAACATTCTGATTTTTAGGTAGCTATCTTAAATTGACTGAAAAATTCACTCATCAACTTGCAAGCTTTAGTTCTTAGCTTAATTTTTCTTCAGAAATTTCTGTCTTTTATAGTTATATTATCTCATCTACTTATCTTGTACTTAAGATACATACCTGTTTCTATGTACCTATCAATTTCAATCCCGAGGGAGGGGGTGTTGGGAAATTGGTGGTGATCAAAATCCCCACTCCTTGGAAAAAAGGACTACAAACCCGACCCTTCTCACTAAAACACTGAGTATTAGACATCACTTAAAATGAAGGCAATGAAGACGTCTTGAAATTCCAAAATCCTACTGTGTTTTTCTAAAAAATCTTGCATGAAAAAATGATGAATATGGCAACCCAACAATACCATAAAACCTCCTCGACTAAGRCACTTGATTGACAGATTCATGTATTGATTGGCTTTGTATCACAGGGTCCTTGCTGTGGTAAGATATATGTCTGTCGGTTTTGCCATGATAATCAAGAAAATCATGCTCTAGACAGGAAAGCTGTCCAAACACTAAAGTGTCTACAGTGTGAGAAAGAACAAGATGTAAGTGTAGTAAAACTTCATGTGMCGTAAGCATGTTGTTCATATATTTACCTGAAAATGGACTGGCTACTCTTCAAAAAAACAGAAAGTATCAATAGTTGTGTTTGTTTATAGTGACATATTTGGTACATTTTATAGTATTTATATATTTATAAATGCCTGGATAACAGATGTTTAATGTCTGATATTATCATCTYCACCCTCAATTATAAGTCAATAATTATTCATGATTATTATTTTATTAGGTATCAASCTCTTGTATGAACTGCGGAATACATTTTGGGTTGTACTCATGTCTGAAGTGTCGRCTTTTTGATGATAAAGAACGAGGTCAATTTCATTGTGACGAATGTGGAATATGCAGGTAMTGAAGATTCACAAGTGTTGACTCAAATTATTATTCTTTATATTACAGTTTGATTGTCTTACACAGGGTTGGTGGCCGRGAAAACTTCTTTCATTGCTCTGCMTGTGCTATATGTCTTGGAATAGCACAGAAAGACTCACACAAGGTTTGAACTAGTTTGCATGAAAAGAAAAATGAGTTTGATGATGGTTTATAATGACATCTTTATTTCAGTGTATTAATGAAGGAGCCAAGAATAATTGTCCAGTATGTATGGAGGTAAGATTTACCAAATAATGCAACAGCTATGAAATAAAAGTCACCATTAGATGTATTTCAGTTGGACAGCACACAAGAAAGAATTGAAGGAAGGTCGTCTTCAATTCTTTTTTGTGTAAACATTCAACCACAATATTGAAAATGGACTATTGATCCTGGACATCACTTGTAGATCACTTAATGTTGTGGTCTCACTCTTACATATTCACTATATAAAGAGACTAAACACTTTGAATATTGCTAGTACAGTACTATTCATCTGTTATRTAATTTATCAAATATTGATATTTTATGTTTCAGGACATTCATGCATCAAGAATACCAAGTCAGATTGCACCTTGCGGTCACTTTTTACATAAGTAAGTAGACATTTCCAACTAACTGCAATGTAATTTATTGCTCTGTATTCCATGTTGATGTTGAATAGACCTTTCCCGAATTCACCTGGATGAACATGAAACAGTGATTTCAGTTCGAGGTTGGCCTTGATATTAAACAAAAGAATCAAGTTCAGTCTCGACTTTAAACCATTCTTCTGTAATCATCCAAACGAATTCGGGAAAGGTCTATTGTGTCATTGATTTACATAGATATACATACTGCAATTAAATACTTTATTTCTACTCTTATTTCAGTACTTGTTTTCGAATGCTTGTAGAACATGGGTAAGTAAACTAACAACGTACAAAGTGTGCAAGCTGAACAATGAACACTGAACAATGACATTCAAATGCTTTAGTAGTCTTTAGTACTACTTAATTTTACACTTGTAGTGTTTGTACTCTGTTTTTGCATGTTTAATTTTATTTCTTATTTATTTTAAATCCAGGAATTATTCTTGTCCTCTGTGTAACCGATCAATAACAGACATGTCATCAATATGGAGACAACTAGACCTAGAAATTGCACGGACACAAATGCCTGATGATTACAAGAATGTTACAGTTGAGGTAATTGATTGTTAATATAGAGTTAATATTAAATTTAGAGTAGATGTAAGGTATCTTAATGACCATGTATTTWTTCTTTTGACAGATTAAATGTCGGGATTGTCAAAAGGTAAGATTAATAAGCTTAGGTAAACATGTTTTGATCTTGATCTTCATGTTTATCAGATTGCAATGTAAAACAGGTTTTTTTTTCAAAAATTGTAAAAAACAGTTGTATTTCTTTAATACAGGACAGCAAGGTTAAGTTTCATATTATGGGACATAAATGCCAACATTGTGGCTCCTACAATACATCACAGGAAAAGATAGAAGGGCTACCAGAAGTCTCCATACCCAATGAAAATATAAACAATGCGCCTAATCCTAATAATGGTGATGATGGTGAGGCGGCTAATCCTAACGACATTGATGATGCCGCTAATCTTGACGACATTGATGACGATGATCAATGGRTTACTGAGGAAGAAGAAGAAGTAAATGAAGAAGAAGGAGGAACAGATAATGAAGTTAACAGAGACAATAATTTAGAGGAAAATAATGATGATACAATTGACATTGAAAGTCTTTCTTTAGATTGATGGATTGCTAGAAGAAGCAAATGACTTTATGATACTGTATGTCCAAATCTAGGACTGCCTGTAAATAATAGTTCCCAGTTGATGTGAATGCTCTACTTTATGCAGTAGATTTTTTATATTTTATTTGTTGGACAGAGAGAGAGAGAGTTGTAGATTGAGCTATTTTCACTACTACTGAGAGCATTTTACTAACCCTTCTAGCAATAATTATAAGATTCTCTGTGTACCTAGAGAATGCCTATACAATAATGTATTAAAACTAACCCAGAAGTATTGTCCCTAAAACGCTAAAATGTCTATTTTTCAATGGCTATATTATGTTTCACTATCATCTGTTTCTTGGTATCTTCAGGAAGAATGTGATGGGCAACCTGAAAATATTAAAACAAAATTGTGCAACAGCTGTGACTATAAACTAATATTCTACAACTACCTGCTAATAAAAACAATATTGAATGATTAAGATATTATTACATATCAAATTCAGTTGAATAAATGACAGGTAATGGTAATGTCTGACACTAACCGAAGGCCAGTTCTAAAATCTATGACCTACCTCAGTYTTCCCTGCCAATATCTCCATTGTATAATCTAGATCACCTCTATGGCTGATACAATTCCTGCTACTGCTACAATTCACCCTCAATGTGATATCATGATGTGACTATAAGCAAAAAATACAATAAGGACTATGGGCTTCCTGTGTTGAAAAATAAYACAGRAATCCCAATCATGTTTGYGCATACCTGGTTTTCAATGATCAAAGAACATCTCGTTGAGCTTTGATATTTATACAGAAAAAGGTCTTTCATTCCTTTGATGTTTTCAGGTTTACCACCAGTTTGTAGCACAGAGCTGATTAGAGCTTTTGTTATYTCKTCTTGACATCTATCRACACCATTGACCGYCAATGTTGGYTTTCCGTTCTTGACAAAAATATCCATGTAGAATGAACAGGACTGTGAGAAAACAGATTAAAAAATATGGTTTTAAAAATAAAACAATAAACCAGTAAATATACACTGAAAAGTACATGTTAATCTTACAGAGGCCATACGGAGATAGGGAGAGGGAAAAAATGGCTCTCCCTTCCCCCCTGTTTTTCTCTCCCAGAGAACCTGAAATACAACCACATTTGTATAACGTTTTGTTTACAAACCTGGTCCAACTCTAGTGCTTTGTTGTATCCCATACTTTCAATTGTAACCCATAAATCATCAAGACCACCYTCTGCRTCCTTGGCTTCCATTAGATTYAARTCAAGGAATCCTTTTAGMGTGATTTCTTCATCATTATTCATTTCAAAATTTTCTGTAAAAAAAWTYATTTGATRAGAATATCATGAYTATCCACTTGAWATTCWGCASAGTCCTTGTTCATTTATTCATCCACTAATTTGTGCAAATTTCATCCATTTATGTGTTCATCCATTTTTGTCCTTCATTTATACATTAAATCATTCATAATCTAACCTTCCATGCTATCCCGTTCATTTATTCATTCATCCATTCATTCACTTTTTTATTCATTTATTTATTTAATCAATTACCTGTCATGACCTCCCATGCATCGTCATCACACTGCTCTCCACTGGTTCTCATCTGAAACAAGTCAAACTCCTTCCGGCTAAGATAGCCATTACTGTCAAGATCTGACCTGGTAAAGATCTCYGTTAAAACTGTCCTGAAGGTTTGTGTGAGCTTCAGATTGTCTCCAGATCCTTGAGTCAGTTTGGCTGCTTTTGTAGGCTCAAACTTACGAGTACCAAGATGACATCCTGAGGTGAGAGACACAAGGTGGTACTTGCCTTTACTTAATGTACTTTCCAAGCAATATTTCTGCATGTAAAGAAAAAAACAAAACAAAATAAGAGCACGTTTGCTTCTCCTTCGCTTCCTCTCTTTTTATTGGGCTTCCTGTCTTGACATAAGGAGAGGCTACAAATTTAGGGAAAGACGCTAGGCCATTTAATGGAATATTTATCAAAGCAATGTGCAGAAGACTGAAAACTAGAATGACGAGCATTTATTCATTTCTTTAGTTCCCATCTTTAGTACTCACCATTCCTAGCTTGGAAGCTGTAAATGTCACAAGTTCTCCAGTTTTGTCATTCATAATGAAAAGCTCTGTATCCACTGACCTTAGATCTGAAGGAGCTACAAACAACAGCAATGTACACTTTATAAGCATCAAATCAATAACTCYAGGGGCATTGGAAGCCAAGTTGGCTGCTGATTTTCTTGCAATACTACATTGACATTGTATGGTACATTTTTGATTGAAATGTGATATTGCAAATATCTCAAACGATAGCTTGGAGGGGTTTACTGGTGAAATAAACCGCGTAGGATGGTTGGGAGAACACGAGAAAAGAACCTTTTCAATTGTAATATAATACAGTAATAACAAACATAGCTGAGTAGAGAGAGTATGGTATGGACCTGATCTTGATGGTATGGGTTGTATTGTCAGCCATATCTGAGTCTCTTTTGGTAAAACAAGAATGTAGTGATGGCTGACAATGGAGCCATCATCCTCTATGAAGAAACTTCCTTTACTYTGGACATTTGTCCATATCTGTCACAGAAGACAATAAAGAAGCTGATAAAAATCATTYAAACAAAGAATAAAAAAGTTCTCTAAATGGACACTTTAAAAGAACGCAGTTGCTTACAACATTTCTTATTACATTTTAAAATTCTGTCTAGATCCATATCTATAGTCTTTTAATACCTTGAGGTTCTGTGGTTCTTCAATGTCCTTATTTAGTATATTCATTGGCCTGTCAACTGATGAATTACTTGACTTTTTCATCATGTTCATAGAATCACTCCTTTCTCTCAGACTACTTAGAGAAGCCTTGCTATCCTCATTTGAATTGCTTGCAGAAAACTTTCTCTCATTCCTTGAGTTTGAGAACTTCCGTTCATTGTTWGTGCTGTTTGTGGAGAACTTTCTATCACTGCTTGCAGAACTCTTTCTTTCATAAAGTGAATTATTASTAGAAGACCTTCCATTGTCATTTGTCAAACCCAACTTTTTCATGTTCTTTTTTGTACATTCTTCGGAAGTTGTTGTCAACATGTTGCAAAACTGAAACAGGAGACAAAATAACTCTGTTTGACAATATCCATACTGTGAAGTTATAGTGGCCTGCAAAATCATGATTGAAAAAGACTATGAAAAAGGACTATAAACTCTGTGATTATACCTCATTGTAATCAAGTTTGCCATCTTTATTGTAGTCCGCTTCATCAAGTATTGTCTGGACTTCTGCTTTGGTCATTCGTTCTCCTCTCTAAAGTCAGATGATTTATTTGAATACTGGGATCCCTGTGTAGTATTGTGATTGGAGGATTGAAAGCTAATGCCATTATTTAATTATTGTATCCATTTTTACAACATCAACAACCTCTTATTTCATCGCAGAGGCATAAATGCTTTTCAAGCTGGCGCTAGGAACACTAAAACTAGCAATTAACATACCTGCCATTCTTAGTTTTATCTTAGTTAACACAGGAAACCAAAATCAAACCAAAACTAGACTTACCATGGTCAAGAGTCTAGAAAGTTCATCAAAGGTAATAAAGCCATCGCCATTAATGTCAATCTTTTTGAAGGCTTTTAATAAAGTATCTTTGGATGTTGGCTTCTCCTTTTGCATGATGTCACAGAATTCATTGTAGGATAGACTATCTGCAACAAAATGTTATTTAGCTTCATTTTGATTTAATGTTTTTTTCCCATTATTATATATCAGATTTCCCCTTTCTTTGTTTTTCTTCTTTCCTTCTCGTTTTCTCTTTCCCTTCCTTCACGTCACTCATTCAATTAAAATGCCAATCCATTTTTTTTCATTATTTCAGATCATTGTATTTTTCTTTTTTCTTTCCCTTTAATTTTCTTATTTCATTCTTCCTCTTTCCACTTCCACTAGTTACATTGATCATCCATTTTTCCAATGTCACCTTATCTTATACCAACTAGATACCTGTATCYTGATTCCAGTATTTCTGCAATGTTTTCCTTGAGGGATTTCTTCCTCCGAATTGTAGAGCTRCAAGGTCAAGTTAGAGGGTTATAAATTCCAATGCAAAATACATGCCGTTATCATCTTAAATGAGCGTTGTTTAATCAATTTATATTTTTTCTGTTTTCTACATCTGACGCCTTTTATCGATGTATTGCTAAAATCTTGGATTTAAGGCTTAACTTATTTACTTAGGCTAATTAAGCTTACGTATCTACAAACATATGTTATCATCAACATTGGTTGCAATAACAACGACAAAATGAAAAGATTGAACAAAAACTGCATTCCTGTAAACAAAAATTGGCAAGGACACTGACCTAATGACAATTCATCCATCGAAGTGATCGGTTCACTGGTGCTTTTTAAAACGGCAAGATAAGCAGCTTTGCACTCGTTCAAATGCTCATTTCTCRMTATGGATTCCCTCCTATATCCATCATGGGAAGCTCGTGATGAAATACTAGAGTTCGAAGTCTTTTTTCGAGGGATAGGGCGCCTTTCAGACATTGTTTTGCAAGTTTTACTCTTGTTGTCAGTGTAATCAACGATTGTTGCCAGTGTCCGCCATTTTGATTCATGTGATAATCCGCTGTCTAGTAACTATTGCTGTTTCATTTGACTCAGGTCCAGGGGTTCCATTCATTCCCGCCTCCCGTGGGGGCCTGACGTGGGGCGTCCTGTTTCCCTGCCTACAGTAAACATGTCCGTCTGACAGATTCGGAAAAGGGATTTTTATCCACGAGTCCTTAGCGCGTTAATTTAGCTGTATTCAAAGACATCTGTCTTCTTTGTTGATATAAACTCTCGATAAATTCTCGAACGTTTGGCTTCCATAAAATGTTTATAGTATTCAAAATGTATTTTTACATAATCACTCTTATTCGCCTGATTATAGTTTTGCAATAAGACCAAAAGATTGCTAAGTTTTTTTTCATTTCTTCATCAATTTTATACGGATTTTATTCATCGCTTCAATTGTGATTTAATAATTATTTGATAATCAATATTAATCCATTTGTAAACTTTGTTCGAGTGTTGTTTTGGAGTTTCAGAGGTCTCAGTTCTCCGCTGAATCCCGGCAAAGCTTTGGCATCAGCTAGTATCTGCCTGGTATATAAACGTTATTAGAATCGTTAATAAGAATTTCAAGACATTTTTGTCGTGGTATTTATCCGAATACTAGTGATGTCTGTCTGATATAATAACTGTACACCTTTTCCTGTTATGATTTGGAAAACAATAACGACAATTGAACAGCTCGGTGAAAGCCGTCACATTACATCGAGTACATCGGTATTCTGCCGCCAACCAGCACTCAGCACCTATCCCCTCCCCCCATTAAAAAATAAATCCACTGAAGAATGATTATATGCAAACCTTGTATCCTTTGCTACTTCCTGGAGCTAAGCTCTGATTGGCTCGCTGCTCCCTAAGGATTTTGAGGACGTCAATATTAGCATAGAACTTCACCGAATAGACTATCCCAGTGAGCTGAGCTATGATTGGCTCGCTGCTCCCTAAGGATTTTGGTGACGTCATATATTAGCATAGAACTTCACCGAATAGACTACCCCAATTAGATATTAGATATCTATAAGTGTCTTCATAGTACGATGGTCTAAGAGGGTAGCTAAAGGTATGCTCTAGTGGGCGGCTACCCCCTCACTCCCTGGCCTTTTGGTTAAGACTAAGTTTTATGTTCACTCGGGATAGCGTGGAAGGGCCGAAATCTCTAACCGTAACGTAAACCGATTCGCCGCCTCAGCTTCATAGAATGTCTCGGGGGAATCGTCCCATCTTTTT